CGGGGGTAAAGCATGCAGCTTCGCACAAATCACTTTATAAATCACTTAGACTAGTCATTAGAGCTCAGGCTGTGTATCTATTACTGACTCTGTGAGAAAAAGAAGAGAGGATTGTTGCCTGGCCACAACAGAAGTCCTTCCCCAGCTATGAATGATGTAGATCAGATGAAAAAGTAGTGACTTTGTCCAAAGTCCCTTAAAGACCCCTGAAGTCTTTAATTTACCACAGCAAAGAGAGCAGTGAATTATTATAAATCCAATTTTCAGAATGTAGTTGTTTGGCTTGGTTAATCTTTTGATACTCCTCATTTTATAATCCACCTGTGAGTGCCTTAGGTATAATCCTTTCTTCAACATGATCTGTCTGCTCCAGAGGAATAACCTCCTGTCATTACTGAAACATCACTTTTCTTACTCTTACAAACTCTACTCCCCCCACACCACCACACACACTCCTGCTGAGATCACTCTCGTTTGCACACGCCTCTTGTTGTGCCGTACTTGCTGCATATTTTTAACCGTTACTGCATGTTCACCCTCTGACTTCCAGTTCATAACTTTGTTGAGCTTCTCTCATTCAGAATCCTCACTGAATGATTACTTTACCCCATGTTATTACATCTGTAACTGTAATACTGCATTTACAAAAATACCATTAGCACAATCATACGTGCTTCATCTGAACTCTGCGCTTTATCCCTTTTAAGTCCCTTATTTTGGCATTCCTAAGTGTATGAGGCATTGGGGATCCCGAACCTTTTGACAAATTTTATACATAACAACTGTGTCCATCTGTTCAATAATCATGAAAAAGAAATATATGAAAATGTAGAGTACAGAAAAGACAATCGGTGAGGTTGAAACAAAGATGGTGGCTGTCTTACCCCGTCCCCAAAGAACCAATCAACTGCAGGAAGAAGAAACATTTTAGCCAGGCATGTTGCACTGATCCATGCTGTGGAGGTTTCAAAGCTCTTTTTAAACTTCATCTTTACTTTAGTCACCAAACTTTTGAAGGCAGGATTTGCTCATAGAAGTACTTTGGCTAAACGGAATTATTTTAACTTAGTATCACTACTTTAGTGCAGAATACCCTTTGTATTATATGTATATAGAATATATATTCTTTTAAAACTCAGGGACAGGAATTAATTCAATGAAGATGTTAGGACTGATGAGCCGATGAGCTTTGAATAGCAATCTGATTCAAACTAACTGAAGCTTTTATCATTCAAACTATTGTCAGAGCAGACTGTCTTCATAGTACCAACAATGTCAGCTTTGATCTGAAGGAAGGTTTCTATGCCTGTTGGTTTCTTGTATCATTCTGAACCACCTCTCTGAATTTAGAGGTTGTTCACTATAGAGAGCAGTCCCTGAGGGAGCAATCAGTTATATCACCTTGTCCATGAGATGTCTGAAGGCTTCAGACTGCAACAGTTATTTAAGACACTCTGAAGTCTTTCCAGTGTTGATTGGGCACATTGAGACGGCTTGTCAGTCAAACGGAGATATCCAGGTCACTGATTTTAACAACACTCTGCTCTTAACTACAATGGGCTTTAGACTCCAAAATTTGACTTTCATTTCTTCAACAATTTTACTTGATATAAAATCTAATTAAATTTAAACTGGTAAAAACAGCAAAGAGTGATGGGGTCAGGAGAGAAAAGACAGCTCTGTCAGTCCTGTTTTAATGGGTGTGGTTAAAGCAGTTCTAGACTACACTTCCAAATCCTTTGTTTAAAGAGATTAACTTTTCAAGATTTTCCTAATAACAGGGTGATTTCTCTTAAGCAGAAGCCACATTTTTCTTTGATCATGACTAAAAAACAGGAAGTAATCATTATGCAAACTTTATAAAAAATAAGAATTAGAAGAACTGAGTTCTATAATTCATATTTAAAAATGTAAGTCAGTACTTCAGACGGTGTGCTACATTTAGGTAACCACAGTAACACAATTTCAATAATAGCTTATGCAACACTAATTCTGTTGTTAGACAAAGTGGTTAGCCATGAACTCATTTACCACTTGTCCTTTAACCATATTGATAATTTATCCCTTATTTTACATAATGTTTAGTTTGGACATTGCTGATGTAACTTTGCTTTACATAGTATCCTGGGTTTGTTTGTGGTAGCATTAGTTACATCTATTTTTAAAATCCATGGAAATGTTTCTAAAGCAAATACTACTAACCATCAGGTCATTTGAATGTTCTTCTGTTCACAGGTAAATTTCTAGTAAATTGTGTTTGCTTATGTTGTTTTACATGGCAGCACGGTGGCACGGTGGATAGCACTGTTGCCGCACAGCAAGAAGGTCCTGAGTTCAATTC